ATAACCTCTGTGTCTAAAGTCCTTTATGTGTTTATTTTATTTTTATTTAGTTGTATGAATTATACTTAATTATAAAATTTCATGGTTTAATAATTTTCTTTTGGGTAGTTTGGTCTTAACTAAAAGTTAAGCAGATATCACCTTCCAATTTGGAGAGGGTTATAAGCTTATAAGGATTATAAGTTTACTGTTTAGTTTATAATATACGACGTAGTATAGGTGCGGTTATGCACAATATTTAAGTTAACTATTATTTTATATTTTATTTTTTATGTAAGGTGGAAATTAATATTTTGCGCATGCGTCATGCCTGGTACCAAGCTAACGACGAACCGTGCCATATTTTGATTTAATAGTTTATTTTGGGTTATGCATATACATATACAGTGTAAATTTTCCCTTTAATTTCCTCCAATTTTTTTTTGATCACCTAAGCCATTAGGTAATTAGACTGTATACTTAGTAAATATTTTTTTCTTTATAAAGGAACATAAGTTGAGGTTTGTCTTTTATTTCTTTCCTCATTTACTGGGTTTTTGGGGAAATAAGATCATAGTTTGGCCACTATATAGACCCAGTTGGCGCCTATTTATTTGTCTACTATTTCCGGAATTTTTGTAAGCTATCCACCCCCTAGCTGCCGTCTGAGCGACGTCGAAGGCCCGAAGGTTGACACCGGAACAACCGAAACTTGTGTAACCGTAGTAGACAACATTTTTAATTGTAGTTAATACTTTAATAATTTTTTTTTAAGTTTAAAAATTTTGGTGGAATCACCAAGTTCATTTCTTAGGTTACAGTGTGTGTGTGTGTGTGTGTGTGTGTGTGTGTGTGTGTGTGTGTGTGTGTGTGTGTGTGTGTGTGTGTGTGTGTGTGTGTGTGTGTGTGTGTGTGTGTGTGTGTGTGTGTGTGTGTGTGTGTGTGTGTGTGTGTGTGTGTGTGTGTGTGTGTGTGTGTGTGTGTGTGTGTGTGTGTGTGTGTGTGTGTGTGTGTGTGTGTGTGTGTGTGTGTGTGTGTGTGTGTGTGTGTGTGTGTGTGTGTGTGTGTGTGTGTGTGTGTGTGTGTGTGTGTGTGTGTGTGTGTGTGTGTGTGTGTGTGTGTGTGTGTGTGTGTGTGTGTGTGTGTGTGTGTGTGTGTGTGTGTGTGTGTGTGTGTGTGTGTGTGTGTGTGTGTGTGTGTGTGTGTGTGTGTGTGTGTGTGTGTGTGTGTGTGTGTGTGTGTGTGTGTGTGTGTGTGTGTGTGTGTGTGTGTGTGTGTGTGTGTGTGTGTGTGTGTGTGTGTGTGTGTGTGTGTGTGTGTGTGTGTGTGTGTGTGTGTGTGTGTGTGTGTGTGTGTGTGTGTGTGTGTGTGTGTGTGTGTGTGTGTGTGTGTGTGTGTGTGTGTGTGTGTGTGTGTGTGTGTGTGTGTGTGTGTGTGTGTGTGTGTGTGTGTGTGTGTGTGTGTGTGTGTGTGTGTGTGTGTGTGTGTGTGTGTGTGTGTGTGTGTGTGTGTGTGTGTGTGTGTGTGTGTGTGTGTGTGTGTGTGTGTGTGTGTGTGTGTGTGTGTGTGTGTGTGTGTGTGTGTGTGTGTGTGTGTGTGTGTGTGTGTGTGTGTGTGTGTGTGTGTGTGTGTGTGTGTGTGTGTGTGTGTGTGTGTGTGTGTGTGTGTGTGTGTGTGTGTGTGTGTGTGTGTGTGTGTGTGTGTGTGTGTGTGTGTGTGTGTGTGTGTGTGTGTGTGTGTGTGTGTGTGTGTGTGTGTGTGTGTGTGTGTGTGTGTGTGTGTGTGTGTGTGTGTGTGTGTGTGTGTGTGTGTGTGTGTGTGTGTGTGTGTGTGTGTGTGTGTGTGTGTGTGTGTGTGTGTGTGTGTGTGTGTGTGTGTGTGTGTGTGTGTGTGTGTGTGTGTGTGTGTGTGTGTGTGTGTGTGTGTGTGTGTGTGTGTGTGTGTGTGTGTGTGTGTGTGTGTGTGTGTGTGTGTGTGTGTGTGTGTGTGTGTGTGTGTGTGTGTGTGTGTGTGTGTGTGTGTGTGTGTGTATAACGCATAACTCATGAACCGATACACAGAAAAACACCAAATTTTAAACTTAAGCTTTTTTTCAGCGTCCAATGAGCTGATTAGATTTTGGGCAGAGTAGGAACATCTGGGGGGGTACTTTATGGGTGGTCATTTTTATATTGTTCAAATAAAAGTTACTTCTAATATTATTATTATCTATAATTTTTGCTTTATGTAAAAATTTCCTGAAATGGTCCGTATTTGAGAAATTTGACAAAATGTGCAAAATTCTGATTTTTATGAAAATTGTTAAAATAAAAGTTGTTTGCGATATCGATCTCTATAATATTTGTTCATACATGATTTTTTTTAAATGGACCGTAATGGAAAAATTGTAGGAAAAGTGCTAAATTTTAATTTTTCAGTATTTTCATTTTCAATGAATATCTATAGAAAAATGTTTCGCGGTAGATGTATGTGGACAATGTATATATTTAGTTTATCCTCTAAACATTTATAGAAATGCTGCAATAGGTTGTACACAATAAACGGAAAAAGCCTGTAATAACTAGATAGGAAAGTCATGTGTTGGACACATTAGATTTTTTTTTAATATAAAAGGTAAAAAAAACAACAATGAAATTTGGAAATAGCCTTTAGTTTATAGTTTTTAGCTTCATTTGCAAAGGAAATTCGTAGCCTCCTCGTCGCAATTTAGTTGGTTTAGGCAGTTTTTTCACAATTTGTTCCAAGCTAATCATGCATATGTCATCCACTGTGGGAAAGATATAGCAATTTTTTATCTTTCTGTTAGGTCTAAGAAATTTAACTTCAAAAGTTTCATCAAAGATTCCCTTAATTTGCCTGATGAAATATTTGTTCACTTTGTTTGTTTTAAATTCAACCTCTACAAAGTTGTCAGTTGCGAAGTTTTCCATAGTAGGCTGCACATCTTCAAAGCACTCTTCCTGTTCCATTATTTCTAAATCCGGTTCTGACTCAAGTTCTGACTCAAGTTCCAAAGCTTCATTCTCTTGAGGCACTACAGTATTGCTTGTTGACGGTTGCGGTTCTAAAAAATCTATTGTTGAAACGCTTTTGCCTGGCTCCACTTGAATTTTCTTTTTCCTTGCTACTGTTGGTTTGCAAGCATTCCTGCTATCGTTAAGCAATTCTACAACAGAATCCGTCCAGGCATTAGGATCGTCCTCTTCGAGATTTCTTTCTTGTGGCAATCGTTTTAAAACCTGAGTCCTATCAAGTGGAATAATTCCCGTCCCACGAAATCCGCTTTTAATATTCTGATTTAGAGTCCCTCCTAATTTGTCTATAGCACGTTTTAGTAAACTCGGAAAATACTCCTTCGGCAAAGAACCCTTGTATTCTTTTTTCCAATCTTGTAGAGTTGACTTCCAAACCTTTTTCATTGGGCCAAAAACAGAGACGTCAAGTGGCTGTGTTAAATGGGTTGAATTCGGTGGCAAAAAAACAAAACCTAATATCATTTTCTTCGCACAATTCAATAACTCTGAGCGACAGATGACTACATAAGTTATCGCTAATGATTACCCTTGGTGCCGAACGTCTTTTTAAGAACGGTAGAGCAATAGAAATAAACCATTCTTCAAATAATGGCCGAACCAGCCACTTTTATTTCGTCCATAGCGCGCACATTTTGGTCCATTTGTCAACCAGGTATCGTAAAGATGCTCGCTCCTATAGACTAGAAATGGGGGTAATAGCTAGCCATCACTACTTACGGCAAACATTACTGATGTCGGTGTTTTTGTTGAATCGATTATGCGTTCTGGATGTCTTGTTTTTCTTTTTACGATGACTTTTTTCCGTCCGGGATCATCTACAAAGCAAGTTTCATCATAGTTGATGATGGATTCAGTTTCAACGTTTTGTAAGTTTTCTTGGAGGTGGTCAAAATATTTATTTATTATTTCCCGAGACACTGTTGCCCGAGCTCGTTTAATATTTTCACACAGTCTTTCAGTGAGTGATTCTTTATGACGCAAACAAAACAAATTCGCCCAATCAACACCGGGTATATTATTAAATTTTGCCACTCTTATTCCTTTTCTATCAAGATATGCCTTAACGATGTATCGAATATCAATTTTTTCCAACGGGTATCCCCACTCTCCCGCCAATACTATCAAATGCACTAGCCTACTTTCCTCACCTTCTGACAAAATAGTTTGCCCACCATGTTTCTTTGGCTTATGTTTAGCATGTCGTTGTAGCGTCGATCTTGGTATATTATATAACTCTTCTGCTTCTCGAAGGGTTATTTGGCCTCTTCTAAATTGCCTTAAAGCCGTTTCAAGCTGCTCTTTACTATAATTTTGGTTAAACCTAGTCCCAGGCGTTCTTTTGTATTTTCGGACCATCGTCCCGATTCACCCCTAGAAGTGATTTGTTTTTTTCATTAATTAATAATAAAAAAACTTTACAAAATAATTTATTTAAAGACTACTTAACATCTAGAAAATACCCACAGGTATACTATATTAACAATGCAATACTCAAATCCTACAATAAATACCTTTTTCAAACGAAGTTTTCAGCCGGTTTTAAAAACGTAAAATTATACTGCAATATTTTGACACCTGTACAAATGAAGCGTCGCGAATTAACTGACGGCGACCAGCGTTGCCAGTACTGTTAATTAAAACGTACTGAAATTTTAATGAAAAGGTACTAGATTTACGAAAAACGTACTAAACTTTCTAATTTAATAAAAATAATTAGAAATAGGAATTAATAAAATTATACACCATTTAAAATACAAAGATACGTGCTTAACTCTTTATTATTAGTGTTCATTGGTCAATAAATTCATAATACAGATCTCCATAATAACTTTATTCAATCAAATAAAAACAAAAAAATAAAATACTGTAAAAAAATCAAGTTTTAAATAAACGATATATTAATAAAATGGTCCTAAACGTTTAGGGCGTTTAATGCAAATTTTCCCTATATGTCTAGGCAATCCCTAGTGGGAATTTTAGGTTTATTCATCTGGCATCACTATATGTTAATTTGTGTTGTAGAACTGAAACAGAAGGTTTCCATGTGGTGCAATTATCATTGCCCATCAAATCTTTACAGTGCAATATGCTATCGCATGTTTTCACCTCTAATTTGTTTCTTAATTTAGTTTTGATATTATTCAGTTGAGAAAAGATGCGTTCAGCACATGCAGATGAATGTGGTAAACACATAACACATTTAATAACTTTTATTAAATTAGGGAACATAGGAACGTTTAAATCATTTTTACAATTAATAATATGAGACCAAAATTGTTCAAAACCGAGTAAACTTATATTCTTTAAATCCTCAATTTCAGGCAAAAGTCGCCATTCTGTGTTCAAATCTTCGACATCAACATCAATATTTGGAAAATAGGAACAAATTTTTACAATACTAAGTACATCACCTGAAATAGCTTTTTCAGGGGTAAAATTTGAGAGAAACTTTAATATATGATCATTGAAGTCAAACCTCTGCCTAATTTGAACACAGAGTTCCACATAAAAACTAAGAGCATTTGTTTTAAAATTCCTGATTTCACTTTTGTCAATACTATCATTTTCAAACATTTGTTCAACTTTTGCACCAAAGTACATTTCATCTATCTTTAAAAAATAGTCAGGATTAGATGGTGCTATAGCTGCCAAATTATATTTATGATTTTTTAAAATATCATTACGTATGTAATTTTTTAAAATAATTTTATAGAGTTCACTAATTTTTTCATAAAGATGATGTATTTTTGGGTGTTCACTCTGAAATTCTATGTTCATTTTGTTCACTATACCCAAAATGTACGAAAGAAAAATTAGGTAAACTCTTACAATAGGTGTAGAAAACTTTTCTAAAATAATTTGAGTTGATTGCAGACCATCAAGCAAGACTTCACTTTGAAAAAATAATTTTAAAGCATCCCAACATAGTAGAACTCTATCTACTGCTGCCTGTAACAGAACACAGCTACTTTGAATCCTATATTATCAATATTGTAATTGATCTTACCTGTAATGACAACCACCTTGTTTGGGCTGGGTGCAACATTTTGTAAGGTTTTAAATTCGTAAACTTTTGAAAATCACGAAATTCAACAATCCGTTTATTGCTGTGGGCAAAGTAATTGTAGATACTTCTTATAAAGTCTTCTAGGCCTCGAGGTAGTTTTGAACATGCTGCTGAGGAACACAATGCAAATGAATGGCATATACATCCCAAAACAAATATGTTTGGGTTTAAACTTTTCATTTTAGCTTTTACACCATTTTTGTCCCCCATCATAACATTAGCATTGTCTGCTGCAAAGCCTACCATATTTTTTATAGGTATTTTGTTGATATTTAGAACTTCGCAAACAGACTTAAATAAACTCTCACTTGTAGCTGATATTACTGGAGTCAGACTTAAAAATCGATCTCTAACTTTAACACCATTATGGTATCTTATAATAACAGCAAGAGATTGTTTGGTAGAAATATCAGTTGATTATTATTGAAAATAAATTGTTCTGGGTTTCTTGCTAAATAATATCTAGAGCTTCCTTAGCTAAACATTGTTTTGTTATTTCTGTAGCCTTTGTTCTACTGCATTTTAAATTTTTTATTACCTCACACTCTGGAAAAGCTGCACTTAACATCTTTGGCATATGGTCCATCAATAAAAATGGCAGGTTATGCTCATGCAGGAACATCAATAAAATAGGTTCAGCTTGTTTTGTCTTCTTATTTAAAGTTTCAAATTCACTGAAAACCTGTAATGTTTCCAATTTTGGCGTACTAACAGACTTGTTGTAATTTTTTTTGTGTAATTTAGTTAGTTCATGCCGTTTAATGTGGCTTATGTTGCAAGTTATAGTTTTGTTACAACACTTACAAAACACCAAGTTA